TATATATATACATATAATTTATGAAATGATATTTAAACTAAGTAAATATTTTATATTTTTTGATTGTATAAAGAAAATTAGGGACGATAAATTCTAAAAACATTTTGCAGCAAATAAATTTTGTTAGTTGAATTAACAGCTAATCGAATTAATCAGAGTTTGACGGATTTTACTCCTTAATTATTCCTACGATCTTAGGTATTCTTATCTATTTACAATTTTCACGAGAGACGTAAAAATTTGTAACATTGGTTGCGTTCAGCAGAGAAAATTAATCAATTAACGCTTAGTGATTCTTTAATATGATTGGTTCTTGCCTTTTATAGTTCTTCTCTAAATCTAAGTGTAGAAACCAATCGTATTAAAGAATCACTAAGCGCTGATTAATTTTCTCTGCTGAACGCAGCCATTAATCCATGCAATTTACGACATAATAATTTCAGTTTTAGCGACACACGATTTCGTTTTCTGATTGTTTTAGCAAAGTGGCGTGTCCGCATCGCAGGCATACAAAGTGCTACAGAATGAACAAGTTGGCAGGTAAGAAAAAATGTGAAAGGGTAGAGCTGATAAATTATTCAAATCTGAGATAAAATATGGTATATAAAGGAAATCTACGAATAATTTTAAACAGGGAATATAATATTCTCTTAATGAGAACTCGTGATGCATTAAACCGTTCGACTGAAATTAAACATTTGCAAAGTCAAAGGAACCGAAGGAATTAATGAATACACGGGATTCACACGGTAATATAAAATTGTAAAATCACCTAAATATGATATGTACAAAGTAAAATAGATTTGTCAAAGATAGAATTAAAAAAGTTTATGATCTTAGAAAGAAATAAATATGCTTTGACAAAGAAAATTATATCAGCAATTTTCTGTATGATTGGACTCTAATTATTTTGATCACATTTATGTATTTGATCACATGTTTGATTAAAAGTGTTTATTCAAAAAAATTGCATTTGATTTGACAGATACATGGTCGCGAATAGAGACCTACATGCTGGTGAAGAAATCATCACGGAAATGCCCTTTGTCGTTGGGCCGAAGGCATGTACGTATCCCTTGTGTCTCTCCTGCTTTACACCTTGGCCCCCTGAACCGGATGATAAACCGCTATGTTCTAAGTGCGGATGGTCCGTATGTGGCCAAGAATGCGAAAATTCTCCACAACATAAAGATTACGAGTGCCAGGTAAATATAAGACTTTAATTGAAGAGCTTTTTCTAAACTGTCTTAAATTCTGCAAAAAATTGTGATCGTAAATCTTTTTAATAAGTGAAGAGCTACGGAAAGTATTGGAAAGCTTTGCAGTATTCTAGTTTCAGTCTTTATATTCATATAAGTCCATATAGTTGTAGATATAGCTTTTCTTAACTGCGAATGTTTGTTCCTTCTTGATATTGCGTTTTGCATATCTAAAGATCTATTTTCTTCGGCAGGTGTTTGCACAGGCGAACGAGAAGTTTAACGTAGACGCCGCGCTGGATGGGAACAGCGAAAACGGTGTTCCGCAATTAGAATGCATAACGCCGTTGAGACTATTGTTGGAGTCGGAGAGAAACGTCGAAAGATGGAACAAGGAAATAAAGAATATGGAAGCGCATAATAAGATAAGATGTAAAAAAAATCAGTGGAAATCAGATCAAGTCAATATCGTAAATTACCTGAGAAAACGGCTCAAACTTGATAGGTATTTATTGTGGTGTTTTACTAAAGCGATCACTAGGCGATTAATATTGTGCACAATACCTGATATTGTATAATATTATTAATCGTATGGAGACTTATTGAACTCCCAAACTGTTTGTTTTAAATTGTTTAAAGGGGGCATTAATAATACTGTACAAAATTATTACACAATAATATTGTGCGTCTAGGGGCCACTTAATATTGTTTTAATGTGGAACTGTATCATTTAAAATGAAACAGTGTTATTTGAAATAAATATTTGTAGATTCTCAGAGGAGTACATACAAACGGTATGCGGTATTTTGGAGATTAATACGTTCGAAGTTCGAACGGCGAAAGGATTCAGCGCACGTGGTCTCTATCCGACAGTCGCTATGATGAATCATTCATGTGTGTCGAATACATCTCACAGCATATCGCCAGTTGATTATAAGTATATTAATTAATAATCGTTACCTACGAACTTAACGAAATGAAAACGCAATTCTTTGTAATGATACTCGACACTAAACATTTACTACCAGCAAAAAATTTAAACGCGATAGCTTAAGCAACAGCAATTTACTTACTTGTTACATGCTCGTGCACCTTCCTCAATTAATTTGCACACTGTGCGATCCTTCAGGAAATCTCACACGGTTTATTATGCTGATGAAGATAGCATTAAATGCAAATAGCAATTATACACGCCATTCTTATGTCTACAGGATACGACTGCGTACTACACTTAAAATTCCTGCGGGCGGTGAACTTTACGCGAGTTACACGCACTCATTACTTCCGACGATCCTACGGAGAGAACATTTACTCGAGGGCAAGCACTTCGCGTGCGCATGCCAGCGGTGTTCAGATCCTATGGAATTGGGCACTCACATGTCCTCGCTGAAGTGTAACAAATGCGACAACGGGATTATTTTACCACTGGATTCTTTAGGTATCGTGCAATAGAATGTCTATTATAATATTTTTTTTTCTTTTAAGTTGTATGTGACGTTAATTGAACAGAAATCAATATTGAAATTTGTTGAGCTCAGTTTTAGACATCGTAATCATGCAATAACGTTTCTTATGCTTATTTCGCAATAAACAAAATGCAAAAATCAACATAAAGTTCTTTAAGTGTCAGGAATTGAAATTATATCGGTTTCAATATTTGGCGATTCTGTATAATGACATTGATAGAAGTTTCAAATCTATTATTATAACGTTTAGAATATAAAATAGTGATTATGTTTTCATGATCAAAAATATTTTTCAGATTCGGAATGTATATGGAAGTGTACGCATTGCGATTTTTCTACCAACGGACAAGCAGTGCTAAAAGTTCTCCGGATCATTCAAGCGGAAGTAGACGCCGCTGAAGCAATCAGTGGAGCTGACGGAACTGATGCGATTCACGAAAGAGAGACTGTTATGAAAAAGTACCGATCAGTTTTACATCCCCGTCATGCCTTTCTTTCAATGTTGAGGTAAATTAATTAAATTTGGCGAAGTCAACTTTATTTTATCGAGCTTAACTCGTTTCGCCAAATTTGCAATTGACTGAAAATTTAATAATTAATGAATAATTTTAATTATATATATATTTTTTTTCGTACATATTTTTCACGTTATATTATTAAAAGTTCTTAAAAATATTTCTTAGGCACTCATTGACTCAAATGTACGGTCGGGTTGACGAGTACTTGTTGGACGATTTGCCGGATGTTGTATTGGAGCACAAAGTCGATATGTGCCGTTTATTGCTTCAAGTATTGGACGTTGTGGAGCCGGGATACAGTCGTGTAAGAGGTATGTGCTTCTTAAGTGTGTTTCCAATTAGAGAAAGGATGTTTGGATAACTTTATTACCTTATCTTTTTGGCAGGCATGACGTTATACGAGTTACACGCACCGTTACTATTCTTGGCTAAAGGTCAATGGAATGCCGGTGTCATTGACGAGGCCAGACTGAAATCCAAAATGATAGAAGCGGCAAATATCCTAAAAGAGGCGGTTACGATATTAAGCCTAGAATCATCAGAGACGTCCGAAGGACAAATAGGACTCGTCGCAAAAGAATCTATAATTCAACTAGAACAGTCCATAAATGATTTATAAGTATCTGTTGCAAAACAGTTTTTTAATGTTAAAACGTTTAAAACGTTTAAAACGTGTTACTTGTACAAACTTACTATATTAATAAACGCTATACTTCTTGAAGTTTCTTATTACTAATAACCAATTCTATCTGCTTATATTTATTAATCAAGAGAAATGATTTTATGAAACAGTTAGAAGAGAAAATTATATGGAAAATATTTATATCTAATTCGCAAGAACTTAATAATGAATATGTATGTAATAGAAATATATAACAGAAATTGGAAGCAGGATAAATATTATATGTAGTATATTACAATGAATTACAATGGTCTTGATTATTATTTGAATTGCTTTCGTATAGAGTAGGAGAATGTCTCAATAATTAAAAGAATGGAAATTAAAGAAATTTATACAATATTTTAAGAATATTTCTGATTCGATATCAAATATAGATATAGCGTGTATATACAAAAAATTTACATGGGATTTTCTCAACGGTATGAGTTTTTAGTGAGATGTCTTGAAGAGGTGTTTAGTAAAAAAATTTTTCTTTTTTTTTGCACACATATATATATGTAACATACTTAATAGAGCAATTAATTTTTTTATATGGAGTTCTTATACAAAAATAAAGAAATTTTCATCGTTTTGTTGTAACTACCAATGCGTGCATCACATTCTGCATACTAACATTACAGATTGCGCTCGATGCCATGCGGTGTCTAATAATACAGCGTGTCGCGTGAGTGTCTAAGGAAGACGGTTCGTATTACTGATGCCTGCTTGCTGATGCCAGTTACGGATCGACTATCGTTAACTTGAAGGAAGTAATCTGGAGACATGACGTCCACTGCGAAGTATAAGATTGCTCATTCGAAGAAACTTGGAAGGTATAATTACAATTACAAGTTAGCTATTTATTAGCACAATATTAATTAATACGTATGTTTGCGTAATTTATGTATATGTCTATCAATTGTCTATACGAAATGTATAATCAAATTGTGGCGAAGTCATGAAACATATTGTGATCATTTGAAAACATTATCTCATCATTTGCACCCTCTTTATTTTATACAGTTAAATTGTCATTTTTTTGTCTTTCATTAAATAATTTCAAAAGGAATAAAATTAATATAGAAGAAATTAATTCCTTTATATATTTATGATTTTATTCTTAAAATAAATTTAGCACTTTTTGCATTTACAAAATAAACATAATTTGTGCTATATATTGAAGCAATTACATATTTAATTATTAATTTAATTTGCAATCTTATACATAATACTTGTAATTATTTTTGCAATCTTATATATCTTTTGTTTATAAGGTATCTCGTAACAGCTAAAAACATAGCACCGGGGGAAGTTATAATTCGAGAGGAACCGATCGCGGTCGGTCCGATGGTGTACAAGAAGGATTGTTTCTGTTTTGCCTGTATGCGCACGTTACCAAAAATTGGCGAAGGAAGACATTACGCTTGCTCCAGATGTAAATTTGCGCCGCTGTGCAGCGTAGCATGCGAGGTAACAAGTTGGAGTACATTACATTGGCGATTTTCTCAAAGAGAAAGAATTTGTTATCATACGAGGAAAGAAACATTTTCGCACGATTCACTGGGTAAAATTAAAAAATTCCTACGAGCAAAATTACTTGGGAAAAATATATGCAATTAGTAACTGTATGAAATTTTGCTTATCTAAGATTTGCTTATCTAAGGCCCGGTTGCACCAACGTTACTTTGACTTTAACCGAGACTTAAAACTCTCTCTGTCTCGCTTATAAAGCCTTATAAAGCCGAAAAGAAAAGAGAATTTTAAGTCTCGCTTAAAATTAAAGTAACGTTGGTGCAACTGGGCCTAAGAAAGACAAAAATAATATAACAAAAGTAAAGTTTGAGAATCGTTGCGCGCGTTATATAACACTATGATCTTTTAAAATATAATTTTTAATCTTCTTTCTCCTATCTTTGAAGGTACGGACAAATCATCATACGAACGAAGAATGCCAAATATTTAAAGATAATCGAGATCTATTAACAGAAAGCGGAATTTAGCAGGAATTTTATTGGCCTTGCGGCTATGGATAATAAAACACAAGAATCCAGCTGTGTGGGAGAAAATAGATTGTATGGAGGCTCATTTGGATAAGAGGATTGGCACGTCCGTTTGGAGGGACAGAAAAGTCAATGTTGTAGATGTGAGTTTTGCATAAATCAGATTTTTATATATTTTGAACGTTTAATTCACAATTCACTATGCAAAGTAAAAGAATAGCGTAAAATATTTCTAAGATATTTACCTAAGAGATGCCCCATTCTGTAATGTGCACTGTAATGTGTAAAAAATTTTTCATGCATGAATATATATAAATATGTATAAACATACGTAAACATGTATAAATATTCATAAATATAATTATGTATGAGATATGTCCATACACGTTTCCATACATCCTTCTTTATGTTTGTAAAACATAAAAAGTTTATAAACATACTTTTTAGTGTACTAAAAATAGTAATAATAATGAGAAAACATCAAAAATAATTAAAAAGAAAATTTTCGCGTTGTTTGTTTCAGAAAAAATCAAGTTTGAAAAAATGTAAAAGAATTGTTCATATATAATTGCATGTAAAATTATACATAGTTATGTAAGAGCAAATTTTTTTACGTTTTTCTAAACTTGATTTTTTCTAAAACAAACAATGTGAAAATAATCCCATTAACTATTTTTGATGTTTTTTTCAATATTATTATTATTTTTAGTACACTAAAAAATAATTTTACAAAAGAAAGAAGGATGTATGGATATATTTCATGTATAATTATATATAATTATGAATATTTATGCGTGTTTATGTATGTTTATACATATTTATACATATTATGTATAAAAAATTTTTTACCGGACACACACACAGTATTGTGTATGTAATACAGGTAATCCGAAAGCTTCGTTGGCCGGCTGAGATTGAACTGCCGAACACGGAGTTAATGCAGAAATTATGCGGAATTTTGGATGTGAATGCTTTCGAGTTGCGATCACCTGGTGCCCTTGACGGACTCCTTCTGCGAGGTTTATATATTGAAGCAACTTTGATGGCTCACGATTGCAGGGGCAATACTCATCTCACCGTGGACGATAATTTTCAGCTGACAGTTTATGCGAGTGTAACAATCAAACAGAATAAACCTATCCTTTTCAATTATACTTCGTCGCTGCTGGTCAGTTATACTTACATAAACATAATAAAATTAATGTTGCTTTTTTTTGCTGTTGCTTTAATGCTGATATTTCAATGTTACTTGATGATTCAATTTAAGTTATATTCAATATTATCTATAAATGATTTAATTAAAAGCTGCCTTTTTATCAAAAACATTTTTATCGTCGTTAGAAAAGAGATTCTTATTAACAATATTTATTAAGTAAATTTTAAAAAGCAATATTTTCTTGTTTTATGTAGGTGCTTTCCAGCAAGAAAGCACAGATGATACAGTATAACATATAGTGACAATCAGAATTATATCAATTCTTATTATTTGTCATTGTTAAATACAACCCAGTAAACGAGAATGGATTGAAATTTGTCTATCCGAATGCGTATTTTAAATAGCGAAAACTTTTTTTTGGATTCAATTGGATTCAATTAGATTCAATTAGATACAATTGGATTGAAAAACTACATTTTCTATTCAAAATTTTGAATTGAACAGTATTCACGATGCACAGAAAAAAGTTGATATTATTTTTAGATTGAAAGGCATAGACACGCTTCATTCCTATAATGAATAAAAATGCATTCAAGATTGAAGAGGCATAGACATTTGCTTCATGCAATTCCTATAAATGAATAAAAATGCATTAATTAAACATTAAAAAGCATTCATTTTAACATTCGTGAATCCGTATTCCTGAAAATCTGAATCCATTTCAACCCATTCTCGTTTACTGGGAATTACTTCATCTTTATACTGTGTCATCTGTATTTCTTGCTAGAAGATTTGGAATTAATATTGGATTATCAATATATTTAACTAGGGTACAGCTGATAGAAAGGATCATCTTCGAGAAGGAAAGTATTTCGAATGCGAATGTTCTTTATGTACGGATCCATACGAATTGCAGTCGCATTTGAGTAGCGTGTTATGCCCGCGTTGCAAAAAAGGATTTATAGGCATACAAGATACTTCCATCGTCGATCCATACGAGCGAAGTCGATGGCAATGCCAGATGTGCAAGAGAACCTACGGCGGTCGTCTGATCAGAGCTACGTTGAACATATGCAGAACACTTATCGACGAATGTGAGGACGTTGACATAAAAGTTCGTGATTATATAAATCAGAAATATATATATATATATATAAAACTTAACATTTTTTTCATAATCATAGCAGTAATAATAGCTAATATTTTTCAGAAAATAGACAGCTTGCTTAAAAAATTATCTCGATCGCTGCATACCAATCACTTCCTAATGTTATCTTTAAAGCAGAAATTATTAACGGCTTGTAGAAAAGAAATAACGTCTCTCAATCCTCAGAAAAAGGTTGTACAAAAAATGTTGGATACGTGTAAAGAAATCTATGATGTCTTAGATATAGTAGAGCCAGGTATATCACGTTTAAAAGGTATGAATGCATTATTGCTTATTTAATTCTAATTATATATTAATTATGTATTATATTATAGAATATAAAAGATTCTAATAACAAATTGTAAATCTGCAGAAAAAATAATAAACAAATAGTAAATTAATAAATAAATATTATAACATTTTATAAGTACTTTTATACGATTATGAACAATATTTATCAATATTATAAATTTCAGGCATAATGTTATACGAGATGCATTTGCCTATAATAATATTGGCAAATCGATCTTATTCTGCGCGTGAGATTTCTTCAACGCAGTTGACCTGCCAATTGGAAGAAGCTAGAAATCTTTTAAAAAAAGCTCTGACTATGCTTCTTTTGGAACCGTTAACCACGCCAGAAGGGAAATTAGCTAAAAGAGCGTTGGAGGAATTACGGATGCTAAATCAGAATATAAGTGACGTTAAATCCTTACCGTTGGAGGAGCCCAAAGTTCATATGCGTAGAACGAAGGAACATCATAAAAAAGTCAAATGACACATCCCATTTCATTTGATCCCAATATTTTTCAACTTGTATAAATTTGAAAAACGGTTAATTTTTCTTGTAAAAAAGGCAATGCCGAAACACATTAACAAAAATTTTACCTTTAAATTTGGTATTAATATTTTTTATTCTCTAATAATACATTACAGAGAGAGAGAGAGAAGGGGAGGGAGGGAGAGAGAGATAAATGAACAAATTTCACCAATTATATATTTTCATATAAAAAAAATCGAAGTACAGTTATAAACGACAAATTTAATAAAAAATAAAACCACTACAATGTTTTAAAGCAGTGCTGGGATTTACTTACATATTTCGGCCGATTTTCAGCTTGGTTCCTGCCCCTTACTTCACCAGTTCGCGCTGACCCGCGCGCAGCTTAAATGCTGATCGGTAACGGAGGGGGACAGGAACCAAGTTGAAAATCTGCCAAAATGTGCAAGTAAATCCCAGCACTGTTTTAGAGATTAATAAGTAATAAACATAAAACATAAATCATAATATAATTTTAATATTTTAAACATTATATAATTTTAACATTTCTATTTCATTTAAGAAAACAATTTTTTTCTTTGAAAAAGTCATTACTTAATCATTAAAAATCAAAGTCATTAAAATAGTTATTGGAGTTTATTGATAACTATAACCAAATTGAAAATTTATTTCAATCTCATTTTTTCAGGTCTCTAGTCTAGATATTCTTTTTTGTAATTATGTTATAATTATTATAATTTATGATTGTGTAGTTATCACATAATAACTTTATCGTCTTGTATTAAAAAAACTGTTTTTCATGTATGATCAAAAAAGATATTATGTATTTATGTATTCATAATGCATCTTCTTATCCACATGGATGTAATTAATGCATTCATACAAAATTTTAATTTCACACAATTAATTTGGCGGAATAAGTAACATTTCCGAAATTCTAAAATTATGTGTATAATGTATATTTGTAATGTTTTATATAGAAAAAATGTGCCTGCGCACAACTAGAAGTTGTAAATTTTTCAAAGTTTTTCAATTTTCTTATCATAAAAGTATTTTGTCCAAAAAGATAAGATCACTCATATTTTATTTTATGTAATAATATTAATAATAATAATAATAATAAGATTATTGTAGCATTATTCATTGCTCATAATTTTTTCTCTTCAATATTGCCATTAGATTTAAAATTGACATCATTCAAACAACTTCCGTATGCAAACATTCTTGGAATGTCTTGCCCGTAATATATTTTCGTATTGTGTGCCAATGACTCGTACTTTTTGAGCTCTAAGAATTCTTTAGATAAAAGTAATTTATTCGCCTCAGCTTGCATTTTCATCTGGTAAAATTCAGCATCAGAACGACTCTTTTGTCTTGCTAAATGCATCTCGTCCTCTATCGCAGCTATTTGCTGCAGGGATTCTTTCTCCATAATCTTTTGATTATATTGAATCTTTGCAACTTGCGCTTCTTTTTCAGCTTCAATGATGGCCTTTTTGCGATCAGTCTCAGCATCTTTTTCCACTACTTTCTGATGTTGTGTAGATATCAACAGTTTCGTTTTCTCTGCTTCCCTGAACGATTCAAAGCAAGTTAATATACGAATATACAAAAATATGAAGAAAATTGAACCCTAAAGGAACTCAAATAATTAACAGAGTACTTACATTAATTCATAGTTCTTCCTGATTGTTTCAGGAATTTTCGGCTTTGTTACTCTTACCGCTTGTATGTTAAGACCAGGTGCTAATTCATTCAAATCCCTTTGAAGCGCAGTCTTCAGATTCTCATCAATTTGATCAAACAGATCTATGTATACTTCATGTAGTGTATGTACAGAACAAAATTGATTTAATTCATGATGCACTTTATTAAAAATTAAGGTGCGATCATAATCTGCTGTGAAATTTCTCACCATGTTGTAAACTAAACAAAAATATATATATATCAATATATTAATAAAAATATATAAAATATCAACATTCTTAAAAATTAAAAGAACAACTGCTCCACAACTTACCACTGTTTGAATCCAATATATTCACAACTTCTATACGATCAAAGTAGATTATAACACCACCACTAGTTCCACATGGCACATTCTTCACTTCATCTGTTTGTAGAGTTACTTGAACTGAACGATATGTGGTCAAAAATGGTATCATCATGTGAAATCCTGGATTGCTCACTTGAGGTAATAGTGCGCCACCCTGACAAATATTCATAAAGTTAAAAGGAATGAGACTATTGAAGGTAATGGAAGAATGACTCGTTCGAAACAACTTACTCGAAAGTACACCCCCACATGGCCTTCTTCAATACGATGAAGAGAGAAGTTAAATACTATTACAAAGCACACGAGAAAACAAATTGCTATGATTCTTTGGTCAAACATAGTCGTCCGTTTATAATACACTGAAAAATATATAGAAAAAGATATGTATGAAACTAAATGTCACATATATAATATAAGCAAAATATAGAGGTGAATCACTAGTTCGAGCGGCTTGAAATAACAGTATCGCGCGAAGGGATAGTTACGTAACATGCAAGCATAAAACGATAATTATATAGCATACAATTAGCAAATCCACCGGCCGCTGGCACGATTCCCCAAAATTCGAAGCACCATCAAAAGAGGTTATCTTTTTGGTAAATGCATCAAGCGAACATAATACCTTCATCCAGAGGACGGAGAGTAAAATATATTACAATACGGTAATAGATATGTAATTATAACTATAAATCACAACATGGCCCATTAAGGTCATATTTGCGAAATAAATCCTTCGACATTTCTATTTCAACTGATAGCTATAGCGCATTCATAGCGCGTTCTCTCAACTTCTTCAATAAATATATCGACTTAGGATAATGTAATCGTCGGAAACGATGGAAACTGTATCAATCTTTTTAAAAGATATAAAAAATTATATATATTACATTCTCTTTTTTTTTTTCATTTTTCTTTTATTAAAGGAAGTCTCTGTAAAGTCTTTACAATATATGTTGAAAATTATTTTGGCGGTATCATTATGTGCAAAAATGTCGAATCAATTACTTAAAGAGCAACATTACAAATAACTAATAATAATATTGCATTATTAAAAGTGCGTTCGAGGAGACGCTGTTAGCGCTATTTGTGTCATTCTGTCCTTGTTTTATGACTAATGAAAAACGAAGATAGAATGACAGAGTAGCGCTAATAGCGACTCCCCGAACGCCCCATAATTCTAATAATTCCTAAAAATAAATGACTGAATTCCTTTAAAACTATATTTTAAATTATATATCGAAATAAATCGTAATCATGTCAACTGATCGATTAAAAAAGTAATTTTCGATTTATCGATTAGTTTGTTTTATCAGTGGACTCTTGTGTATTTTTTGGCTGCGTTCCGTTTCACTCGTAATGTGTATAATACATCAATAGGTCTGTTCGCGTTGCATGAAATCCCCAAATATTTTTACACTTAAAATGAGATAGATATATATTTGGCCTTGAAAAGAGAGAAAGCGAAGATGCCGAGTGCCAAAAGTGCAAGCAACGCGACAGACCTAATGGGTGCATTCAGTACTACAATCGCTCACTGAGCGCTCAGTGAGCTCTTGCATCTGATTGGCATATTCCGTTAGAACTAAAAATATAGACCAAACAGATTCAAGAGCTCACTGAACGCTTGCATCTTATTGGCATATTTCGTTAGAATTAAAAATATAGACCAAACAGATACAAGAGCTCATTGAGCGCTCAGTGAGCAGTCGTGGTACTGAATGCACCCATTTATCCTTGTTTAACATTCGGTGAATAATAAGGATAAAAGATGCATCATGCAAGAAACGGAACGCAGCCTTTACTTTATCTCCCTTTTTCTCTCTACTGCCCAATAATATGTAGCTGTTTTATTTTAAGTGTAGAAAGCACCATGATGCACCATTGTGGTGCAATTACAAATCTGATATAAGATAACGAGGTTAGGTTTCTGAAGTGACGTTGATTTGACCCAGTGATATACAAATAATTTTGAAATAATTTAATCATGTTTGTTTAATGTTTTTTTCGTGATACAGAAAAAATGGAAGTCAAGGCGAAAAGTGAACATTTGCTAACTTTGAAAGGTAACTTAATGCGAAGAGAGAGCAGTAAGAATTATATTGCTTTTCAAAATTTAGACAACCCAGATAGAAATCATATGATATTAGAACTCAGAAGGACGTCATCATGACTTTATTTGTTATTTTTTAATGACAAAGTTATAATGACATCATTTTAAGATCATAACTTCTATATTCTACCTGGAGATAGAGAGTATTACTATTTAATATATGTACAATAATTTTGTAATTGAAGATATGATGTGGGAGAGAACTATATCCATTAATGAAATTACAAATTGTTTTTTACAGTAATGAGATTGACACGACCTACCTTGGCTAGTCCCATGGTTGTCACATGTGATTCTACAGACTTACCAGGTAATACATTGAACAACGAACTTAAGAACGATTGCACGACATTGCAAGGCATGGAGGCACTCGCTATAGGACAATTTATGGTATTGCCTCAAAGTTTTGGGTATGTCTCTTGCCCAAGAATTGTTCTTTTTATCTAAGCACAAAAAATATATTTCAAATATTGAAATTGATATTTATTATTTCAGAAATATATATTTAGGAGAGATATTCTCCAGTTATTTATGTGTTCACAATGGCAGTAACCAAGTGGTAAAAAATGTTATTGTAAAAGTAAGTTCAAATTACACGTTAAAGTTTTATCTTAAGTGATCTTATTTGACATCAAAGTGCATTTCTATATTTTCTAACATTGTATGTTTCTACATTTTATAGGCAGATTTACAAACAAGTACACAAGTTATTCTACTCTCCAGCAATAACCTGGAAGGAAAAGAATTAGCACCAGACAATACAGTGGATGAAGTTATTCATCATGAAGTTAAGGAAATAGGTACACACATGTAAGAAATATATAAATTTCTGTATAAAAAAAATGTATTTTTTCCTTCAAATGGAAAATATATCTTTCTTGTATCTCTAGATTAGTTTGTGAAGTGTCTTATACAAATCAGATTGGACCTCCACTGTCATTTAGAAAATATTTCAAGTTCCAGGTAGTTAAACCACTTGACGTGAAGACTAAATTTTATAATGCAGAGGTAATATCTAAGTATTGAGTTATACTAATACTATATATTTAATATATATATAATATTATATATTTAATGTTCTTATTTGTGTATGTGTTACTTTCGCGATTTCATGATAATATTTATTAAAGTCAGATGAGGTATATCTCGAAGCACAAATACAAAATCTAACAGCTGGACCAATTTGCTTAGAAAAAGTTGCTCTTGAATCGTCCCACTTATTTAGTGGTAAGTTCTCATTGACTGTAATGTTGACTAGCATGTATTCATAGTTCTTACATTTAAGATGTCATAAGTCAATCAAAGAGACGTATTAGCATCTTTAGATAGTTTTGAAATAAGGTGATTATGAATACCGGCTTAAAAGCCTTAAACTGGAAACGCGTCATATTTTAGTGACTACATTAAATACAAATGACGAGGGAGACTCTATCTACGGAAGTGTAAATTTATTAGATACAGGCTGTAGTAGACAATATCTATATTGTTTAAAGCCACAATCAAGCTTATTAAAAGATCCGAAAATGATGCAAAATGCAACAAATATTGGCAAATTGGACATTGTGTGGAGGAGTAATTTAGGAGAAAGAGGAAGATTGCAAACGAGTCAATTGCAAAGAATGGTATGTTGTACTATTCTTCAATGAGTATATATAAAAGTTATGTATAAAATAACACCAACATAATTCGTTTGTCTCAGGCACCTGAGTATGGAGATCTGAGGGTTATCATAAAGGATATTCCTTTAAAGGTTTATCTTGAAGAACCAGTTAATTGTACATGCCATATAATAAATACATCGTAAGTGTGATTGCAGTGCAAAAGTACACAGAATTATCGTGAATATAATAACAATTCTTTCACTTCTTTGTATAGAGAAAGAAGTATGGAATTATTACTAAGTTTAGAGTCAAATAATTCCATAGCTTGGTGTGGAATGTCTGACACAACAATTGGTACTTTAAAACCTGGAGCTTCCATGGACATACCTCTCTGCTTCATTACTCTGGATACAGGCATTATCGTGAGTAATTTATTTATGGGAATTATGAGGATGCATTTTAATAAATTTTACTAAATATTGCTCTTTTACAGACTATTTCCGGTTTAAAACTTACAGATACGTTTTTAAAAAGAGTCTACGACTACGATGATCTAGCACAAATTTTCATTAATCAATTGGATTGAAAAATGCACATAACAAGACCACTTTTATCAATTACGGCATTTATTATTTATAAACATAATAAAAATAATGTCAAGATGTCCTTACATAAATACGAATGTAACAGAGATGTATGTTAGAATCACTCTAAAGTGATAATCATAAATATTCATCCAATGTTGACATCCTTTCAGTTTCATTGACTGCTCCTACTGCACATGCGAGTAATGTTTGAACGTCTTGCGGCTCATTGCCACCGAATACGTATCCATTAGCTTTATCTACCGCGTTCTTTACTTGTAACAACAATGCTTTGTTTGTAACGTCCAATGGTATGAAACTAACGAGACCATAATCTTCAATTATTGATACTAGCGCAGTATTAAGTTTTTTGTACCTATAAAATATTACAAATATAAAAGTTTTCTCCATATTTCAGTGTTAATAACATTTTTATTTAGCTACATTTAATTTACTTTGCAGTAAAGGGATTTTCATCCAATTGCTCCAAGAGATAATTCAAATCTAGTACTTCAGTGTAAAAATCTATATTGAATGCTAGACGATCGCTGAACTTTTTCATTTCATCGAACTTTGTCATTATATTTACATGAGGCAAACCTATTTGTAACATCACTGTTGTGCAAAGAATTAGAGAAGACAAGTATTTTCCTATAAATTATAACAATGATTAGCAATTTCTAACAGTTTATAATTATTTATTTAACTAATTCAAGTAAATATATTAATATCTACCAGGATCGCTACAATGATGCGAATCCATAAGATGCACGCTGCATAATCTTATTAAATTCTGATTCAATTTCTCCGCTATTTGGCTCACTGATTTATGATGCGTATATAACTCAACCTAACGCATTAACAATGTATTATTTAGCATTATATAGATATAAAGTAGAAAAAAAATTTAAGAAAGAAAAATGACTCACTTGACCAGGACAATCAAAAATAAGATAGTGATCCTTTAAATTCAAAACTTTAGTGATAAGCCATTTGATGTTGGTTTCTAAAAATTCCATACAGTAAACTAAAGCTCCATTTGGTCCAAGTCCAAAATGTACCATGACCTCTTCATGTTTAATTAATTCAGATATATCTGCCGCTGGAGTATACTCCATATTTTCATTTGCCGGATCTAAAATATGGCGATTGTTTGCTTAGATTTAGTCTTAGATTTCAGGAAAAAAAGCATAATCGTACTTCTATCCTGTAATTCTTAACGCCGTGTCAGTATCGGTATAATGTCGTAGCACAAATTTTTTTATCATACCATACCTGCGCAACTGATATTGATACTGTCATTAAGAATTATAGAATAAGTACTGAATTAACATACCAATATTAATAACAGCTACTTTTCTTCCAATAGACTCCAAAAATTTGGACATTGCATTGCAATATGTTGTTTTCCCACTACCAGGTGGGCCAATAACAAGTTGACCAAAGATTAAGCTCATGATGATTTAACTGATGTTATATTACTGATGGTTTTATCTGATTTATAGCAGCGACAATGGACTTTAAAGTATCCAAATCATAATCTTTTAGTGCTATTGACAGCAGTAATGGTTTCTCGATGTTAATTTGTTGCGCTATATATCTAGCAGCTAGATCAATGTCATTGTTCTCATTGCCAAAGACTGTCCTGCAAATTTTTATTAAATACATAATGCATTAAACAATTGTGGAATGGGAGAATCAAGCTTCTCAGTAGGGAATAATGTAGTCGGTAGGAGAATAATGTATTTTCTACTAAACCCAAGATACTTTGACAATTGAGCAACTGTGAATTGTTACGCACATTCTACAATAATTTTTATTATTCTACAATAATAGTTATTAATAATAAATCAGAAGCCAGAAGCTAGAAATTGATCAATCGTAGTCAAATGCAAGAATAACTGATTATGATTGATCAATTTCTGATTTCTGATTTGTTACTAATGGCTTATTGTAGAATAGGTATTCTTACATTATATAGTTTGAGAGCAAGAGTGGCAGAACAGACAGCATACTGATCTGCTATGCTATAGAGATTCTGGGTTCGATTCCCAGTAGAACCAACAATATTTTCATAAGCTCGTGTCTCCTCTCGGAAGGAAACAGCAACCCACCGAGAGTATCTTTGCCAAAAGCACTTCTCTAACAAAATTTCATCCTTTGAAATCGACGTTAAACTGTGGGTCTCATATGACTGTGTACAACCAGCGTGCGCACAAGCATATGAGAGAAGTTACCACGCTCGGCCACGAGCAATAGGACTGAGAAGGATTATTACATTATGATAATTATTATACTTACTGTATGATTATTACAACTACGTAACTGTTACAATTATGTCATTACTTACTTTATCGTGAAGACATCGCTATTGTAACCATTCACAGCGGATTCACGATTTATTATCAGCAATGTCCCAAACTTTTTGAAGTGCGTTACAATCAGTAACGTTCGATCGCTGTAAAAATGAAAATGTAACAGCGAGGTAAACAACACTATTTCCTAAAAAGATCGTATTGATAACTGTCCAGTACCTGTAGGGTTTTAAAACAATATCAGTGTGATGGCCATTTGTAACGATACCACAGACATGTTCATTCATATTTTTTTCGCATTCCTAACTTCGAAGGCTCCAAAATCGCACCAGATGATATAACCTAATTCGACATTACGATGATCAGCAATAGTCGCGTTCAGCAGACTCAGCTGTTGCCAGGGAGTCAATTGTGTATCTCGAAATGAGGTGAAAATCACAAGTGAGCAAATTCACTAGTTATTGATCAATTAAATTATGAATATTCTAGTGAATTCCAGGTCCAAATTCCCCTCTTGGAAGAAGAAGGGACTAGAGATTCTCAAGTAAGAGATGCGTGAATTTCGAGCATTTGCAAGAACATGGCGACCTCCATTATGTGTCATATGTGTGTGGAGGTCGCCATGTTCTTGCAAATGATCGAAGTTCGCGCGTCTCTTACTTGAGGATCTCTAGAAGGGACTAGAGACACTATTGGTCTGTTTTCTGTTCTTGCATTAGAACTCTCTTTCTCGCTTTCGTTAAATATCAAACATATATCTATCTCACTTTAAGTTCCAAAAGTGTACACTAGTTCAGCCACAGAAAACAGACCTTATAATGGCTGCGATCCACTTGACGCTACAAACGCTTCGAAGCATTCTTTGATTAGTCAATTCGTAAAATTCTTTATTCTGATTGGTCGCCCAAACGGTTCGAAGCGTTTGTAGTGTCAAGTGGACCGCAGCCTTTGTAGAGAAGAGAATAGAAGGGAGGAGGGAAGGGAACGATAGTGCTGCTTCTATTGGTGTCCCTCCTGTACTACGTAGCTGTCGCAAAAAAATTCGGTGAGTTTAGACGCCCGCTGTTGCGGAACGAATCCGCGAGCGCTCGCTGCTATTGGTGTACTCTTCTAGATCATTCAATAGCAGCGAGCGCTCACAGATCCGCTCTTCTTCTTCTTCTTCTTCTTGTTCTTAAAATCCCTTGTATGGTTTTCCGATCCTATATTAGTGGATCACAGTACCATGCGTAACTTGATCTATAGATCCAGCCTAAAACCTCTTCGAGGATAGTTCTGCTTATACATATATATTTATATAGAGGGTTAGTATAACAATCTTCCCAGAGTCTTCTTAGTAACGCTCGCACGAAGGAAGAGACTCCAGATGGCTCTCCAGTCGTCAAACAGGCGATTTAGGGTGTTTTCCAACAAGGACACAGACACTGTGTTACACTGTGTCCTTGCTGGAAAACACCCCTAGAGATGAAATTTCTCACCAGCAAAAGATCCTCACCAGTGAAAATACAAAAGCATAATAATTAAGTCTAAAGACTAAGGCCGGTATTCATAGTCAGATCTTATATTCAAGAGCGTTTTAAGTACAGTCTTAAGAAGTCACAAACCAATCAGAGGGCCGCAGTGTCTTAAGCCGCAGAGGGCTTAAGACATTACTTAAAACAGTCTTGAAATAAGAACGGACTATGAATACCACCCTTAGATTACTTTTATTAGCAAAAATTACTAGAAAATTAATAGCTTTAATATTAGATAAAGCAATCACACATGAAACTGATAAAGGAGGAAAAATATCAATATTGCAGATTGAATTAATTCATCTCTAATTTCAGATTTAATTTTGGGACAAGTTCAGAATATATGATTAAGGTCCTGTAACACATAGCCGCATTCATATGTATTATAGAATCATTTTTGCATCTAATTTTATACAAAAAAGCATTGGTAAAAGTATATCCTGTTATAAGTCTAACACACAGCCCTACCAAAATCTTTTTTACTAATCCACAATTTACGGAAAAAATGTATATCAAAATCAGAGTTTAAGTCCATAAAATATTTCTCTTCAAAGAATTCCTAAAATCCATTATATAAAATAATATAAAAAAATATGATATAAATGGCGGTTTTCAGCTTTTTCCGTTATATCTCGAATAGTTGTCGAAAAACGCAGCTCTCGCAGCTGCGGTCGCCCTTACCGATATCGATCGATATTTGAGCTTTGTCCAAACACTTTCCAAATATATTTCTGAAAGATATCCAGCGTTAAACGTAATCTTGACAGAACTTGAATCCTCCAATTGATTAGTATTTCTAGACAGGAACTTTAATCTTTTAATTTCTACAATTTCATAATGGTTATTAATCCAAGATAAACCCCTTTTAATATCTTCGATCGACAAAGAAGGATCCACATTTCTAACAACGCCAACTCGATATAGTCTAAAATTTGGGATCATCCAGTTTTTTGGAAATTTATCAACAAAAGAATTAACAATCTGGTCTTAAAATGAATTTCTATGACTTTCGGACCGAATTTCTTAATTTAAATAATACCATTAAAGGTATCTGAATTCAGTTTAGAAAAAATCATTTTGCCAATTGACATAGGGTGTAAAACAAAAAGTTGACACAAAAAGAAAAAGGAAGAGAAAGAACCATAAATACTGAACTGAATATTTCAAGTTCAAGGTCTGATATTGTTGTCAGGAGAAGAGAAAGCGAGTTTAAGGACAGCGCAATGCGCGAACTCACTTGATAACAATTTGATATTGATCTTTATTAAAATTTAAACCATATATGATTTATATCAATTAAATACGTATATTCTATTAAATATTGAGAAATTATACAACTATATACATTAATGACTGGTTAAACGATCAATCAGGAATAAAACATATGTTGAAATTCTAAAGATAAATCACACTCAGACAATAAATTCTAATTTTTATATCTTATATAAAGCTAGACAAAAATAACTTCTTATCATTACTTAAACAATAGTAATAAGGATTAAAATTCCTCATAAAAGAACAGAAATCTCCGTTACTTTAAAAGAGTTATATGACAAAATAATATGCAACAAAACTGCTAGATACCCTCCATCAGAAGCATTCATAAATCGCAAATATCTTAATTAAAGCTCAAAAATAGGAGAAATAGAAGTCAATAAAAATAAATGACATAGAATTAAATGAAATCAACGGTATTTCAACAATGGAAACTCACCGGTAACGTCGACCTGAATCGGACTATTTCGTGATCTAACAACAGATAATCTCTCAAAAAAATATAAGCAGTCTCAGCTCCCAAATTATATGACTCGTCCACATGCTTGATTAATTGTCAATCAGCATTACTCAAAAAATATATCAGCAAGAATTAGATTCCGCTATGTTGTGCGTAAATTGTCTCTAGTCAGCAATCACTACTCAGAGATGTTACCTCTCTGGCAGTCGAGAGCGGAATGTCCACGCCCCACGGATTCACTCCGCAACAGTTGAATCTGCTGAACGGGATCAATGATCAGCAGGGGGAACAACCCCTGTGGTAGAAAGGATTGACATGAGGCCTGTTCTTTTTGGTTAAACTTTTGCACCAGTTCATCTTTCTTCCTCTTTTTTCCTCTTGGAGAGAAAAGGAAGAAGATGAACTAGTGCAATAGTTCAATCAAAAAGAACAGGCCTATGGCGCGGTCCCATGGTGCGGAACGTATACATAATGCGGAATTGACGGAACGATGTCCGTTTAATCGCAAGCATTCCATCAATTACGCTCTGCCGATATGTCTTTTCTAAATCAATCACGAGCGTTTCGCCAATTCCTCATTGCACCAATTCCGCATCATGGGATGCAAAATTAATGCAATTCCGCGCAGTAGGAGAATGAATTTGGATAACATTTGATTGGTTATTTCCAGTATTGCTACCCCCGTTATGCGCAATAGCTCACCTTACGTATTTCCATCTTTGTATAGCCATTAGCCATACCCTATACTGGCTACGTTTACAACGTGCGGTTAGTCTGCGACCTATACGATAGGTGCTTTGTTTAACCTACGGGATAAAGGACATCTATTGTATAGGCCGCGGCCTAAATGCACGGTGTAAACGTAGGCATTGTGGTACCGTTCAGAATCCTAGGCCTGCCAACTATGAAGAAATAAATGATGTTGCTACGACTGATCTCTATGCATCTTCGTCAGAATCCCGCTATATGTCTTTTTTTCTCTTTGCGCTTCATTTTGAAGCGTGGAAGAACATGAACTATCAAGCAAGTGTGAAACGTGATTTCAAGAGTTTATTAGAGTACGTATTATGAAATTATTCGAAATGGATTTCTATTAGAATTATTCAATTATTCCATAAATTTGTATACAAATTGGAACACATTTCGGAAATACAATTCCTAGATCTTTTTCATATAATTTTTCAAAATTTACAATTTCTGTATAATTATATAATTTTTTAGAAAATTTCTAATTTTTTAATTTATACGAATCTTACATTTTATAATTTATATATAAAAAATTCTGAATTTTTAGAATTTCAGTATCATTTTTTATGTTTAGAAAATATCTCAAATTTTTTTATATGAATCTTACAATATTTCAGAATTCATATTAATGAAAAATTCTAAAAAAAAGTATAGATGTTTTGAGTATATATTTCTGAAATGTGTTTCAATTCCTATTATAGCTTTTATTTATTCCAACAAATGTGTTAAAGTGAGTAGGAGCTAGGGTAAGAACATGCGACGCGAACAAACGTTGACGCTACAAACGTTTCGAAGCGTTTGAGCGACCAATCAGAACAAAGAATTTTACGAATTGATTAATCAAAGAATGCTTCGAAGCGTTTGTAGCGTCAAGTGGACCGCAGCTGCAAAGATTGGAGAAACTCACGTATTGTCGATAATTCCGTCTGACTACGACCATGGACGTGAAAATAACTGAAAAGGTAACGCGCAATGTCAAAACAGGGGTGGAAGGCATTAATTGCGCGAACTGTACTAGGTAGTATATGATAAAAAGAGACTGAACCTAAATGTGCGTGCGACGAAGACAACAACTAAGATAATTATAAATATGGCTCAATTAGACGAGCCAGTTACAAAATAAAGAATATTTAATAATCTTTCATACAAACGTTTCGACACCGATCGGGTCATTTTCAATGTAAATAATAAGAAATATTACATAAATTATCGGAATATTCGGTCACATAATGTCCAGTAAAAACGCCAGTTATTTAGTATTCGCTATATGCAGTCCATATGTAAAAGCATCATAAAGGTGATTTCATCTCACAACAACTAAGGTTAGCTAAATTGGGACGAACGACCACCAAGCAAGCGAGAGGGCAGAGAATTAGAGAGAGACGCTTGTGAACTGAGCACACAATAGGGTTGCATTCGGAAAAGT